GGAACTTTTCGCCCAATTAAGCTTTGATTATCTTAAGAATACTAACACCATTCCCTCCTAAGGTAACTGATACCCCGTGCTCCCTGGACTACGTGAAAAATTACACCGATGTTTCCGCGGTCGAGAAATATACACTTTCCGGTAGAATCTTACGAGAAAAGAACTGACAGCGTTTCTTGCCTGGAAAAAGAATGAGAAGCTTGGACGATTCAACCCAGATGCTCCAAGTCTCCTCGATGCCAAGCTCGCAGTTTACGACAATGAGATTAAAGAGAAAGGTATTTCAGTAGGAAAGAGATGTCGAGTTGGAGAAGATGATTCCCGAAGAGGTGAAGTGATGTATGTAGGTGATGTTGAAGAGATTCCTGGTGGAGCAGGAAAATGGATTGGGATTAAATTAGATGAACCTGTTGGAAAGAATGATGGTAGTTTAGGTGGAAAACGGTATTGGGGTAAAGATGGTGATGGAAAATTCGGTGTCTTTGTTAGACCTGAAAGAGTTACTGTGGGAGATTTTCCTGTTTTAGATGATTTGGAGGATATGGAGGAGATGTAACTGTTGATACCTATTTGTATGGTGTTTATACTTCTTACGGAATCAGAATTACCTTTCGAGATACCTGTTGAACAAGCCGTATTCATATTAAAATAAATCTTTGCGTTTTTAATTTCTTATAAGTAGCCTTGTAACCTCAATCATAACCTCAATCAACTCCAACTCCAACCAATTCCAAATACCAATCCAAATTTAGCACTTTCCCAACCCCCACCTAAACTTCCTTTTAAATTCATCTGTTCATTTAATTCGATTCAATCTAACCCAGAAAATCTACCTTATATCTTATATTCCCCGTCATCGCCTTTCCGTCATTCCTTTCCCACCATTACTTTCCTTATTATCCCCTGTCTCCTATCCTCTATCCTCTATTCCCCATCACCACCTACCCACCTCCTCCATTTCCCTCAAACTTCCTCCTTCATTTCTTTTTATTCTATTCTAATTATCTCTCCCCTCCTCTTCCTTCTCTCCTCTCTCTCTCTTCCCTTTCCTCCCTCCCTATACCCTTCTCTACACCACTTTCCCAATTGTGACGGAAACCCCTGCTTTCCCCCCACCCTTATTATATAAGAAACCTCAGGTACATTAACCATGTCCACACATGATACGATTACTCGGGATTAGTATACGATTTAGGTGGTCTGAGGATCAGATCCGAACAAGTACTAGGTATCAATGGTTATCGGTAAAGTAAGATCATTGGAGGGATAAATGTGACTTCTTTTTGCCTAGCCATTACGGCTAGGCCATTCATTTGTGTATGTATAGAGTAGCTATCCCCATCTACAGGTGCTCTTCACCTGCAGATTCTAAGTTAAATACAATTGCTGGTCTATAAACACCCTTTTGGTCACACCAATCCTAACTCTACATTTTAAACTTTTATTTATATATTTTTAATTTTAATTTTATCATTTTCTTCTTTTTTCTTCCCCCTCCCCCATTTTAACTCCTATTTAAATTTATAAATAAATCTTGTATTATTTATTTATAAATTATACTTTTTTATTTCTATTTTAATTTTAGAAATTCTTTTATTTTTTATATTCTAATTATCTCTTTTTTAATTTTAATCTAATATGTTGGAAATTGTAATATATTTGTAATTTCAATATATTTCCTAGGAATTTATTATATCACATCATATCATACAAGTCCATTCCCCTCCAACCCCAATCCCCCAAACCAACCCTCAACACCCTCCCCATCCAACCTACCAACTACCCCCTCCCCACCCTACTCCCCCTCCACGGATCACCAATCCGGCCCTCCATCTTCCTAATCCTCGCCCCTTCAATCCTCTGCCTCTTAATTTCCTCTAGGATCACTTGAGGCGAAGCACCCTCCCTCAAAAGTTTCTCTCTTATTTTTTTATTTTTCTGATACCGAGCTGCGCTATTTTCTCTTTCGATGCGCCGGGATTCTGTACGTATATTTGTATTCGTATTTGTATCTATATCTATATCCGTGTTTGTGCTTGTATTTGTAGAAAGTTCGTCTTGAGAGCTGTGGGAATCTATTGGATCGAGCGCTGAGGAAGTAATGTCGTTTATCGGCGGGTCTTGTGGTATGATGTTGGATATCCTCCTGTTTGTGTATACTTCTCTTCTTCCACTAACGTCCCTCCCATCTACATCCCAGCCTATATTCTCAAAAAGTCGCTTCGCCGCCCTCTCCACCTCCCCCCATCTCTGCTTTCCTTTCTTGATACTCCATTTCTCCAACGCCTTTAGCGCTCTTACATCAGTTTTCATTTTCTTCGCATCTGTTCTTCCATCCAATATTGTAATCCTATGTTCTCTTAATGCCAATAATAATCCATATATTGCCAATTTCCTGCTTTCTCCTTGAGGATATCCGAGATCATCGAGTATAGCGCAAATTTCAAAAGCTAGTGGGCCATTGGCTACTTGAGGCATTACTTCTGTGGTCCAGAAAGATTGGAAGACCATATCTGTTTTTGAAGATTGGAAATTATGGAATCCGACATCTTTTCCCTTGTGATTTTGGTAGCGGTTGGTGTATACTGATGGAAGGATCTTTTCCTCATTTTTCTTGGATTCATTTTGATCCGAGACATCATGTTGCTCTTGATCTTGTCCAATATCATCCTCGCCTATGCTCTTCAATCTCTTATTCGCAATTCCCAAGCTCCTTATGGAATGTGGAACATAAGTTGACAATACATCCCACGCTTCTTCAGTGTCTGCTGCCGTAGAGTATGGTGAACTTAGTATTAAACAATCAATATAACTATCCTTATCATCTTCTGATGTCTTGAGATTTTTAAGCGATGAAGCAATAGAGCTATGGATTTGTTGAGATACAGATGCATCCATGGAATATGGAATTGTTTCTAACGCTTGATTTAAGGCTTGCCCTCCTTGTTCACTAACTGGAAGCAAATGAAGATTTTGACCTTGGAGTGGTGCGAATGTAGTTTGTATCTTTGGTTCCGTTAGATATCATTCTCACATCTCTCATAACGTGATGAAAAAAGGATTAAAATTTTTAAAAAACTTGGAAATATACGAAAAGAAAATAGTATCTCCTACATAAAGCTCTTTTCTCTCCACCATCCTCTCTTCAATCGCCCTCCTAATTCCTTCTCCGACAGCCTTTTCATCATACCTAAGCGGTTCGGCCCCTGTTTCTACACCCCTATATCCAGCCCTTATAGCTTGGTAAACTAAATCTGCGGTTTTTTCCTTGTGCCATGACGTGCTGTAAATAATCCTAGGAACGGTAATTTGAGAAGCGGTACCGCTATTTACTATAGAGGATTCAAGAATCTTAGATAGCTTTGTAGTAGATGTGGAGGCTAGTCTCGTGATTTGATTAAGGAGACGAGGGCTAGGTAGTATTTTGAGACATCTGGATCTGGATTGTATGAGACCAGCTTGATGAATCAAGAGTGAACAGAAACGAGGATTGGCAAGCATCAGTGACTTTTCTTATTGGTAATTGAGGATATTAATTATATGACTTTACGAAGAACGATTGGGGATTTTGATATGTTGAGTTTGGTATGCGCGCCAATTGTTTGGTTTGTGTTCAGGATGAAAAGATCCGAGATGGTTAAAAGATCATCGCCTAAGATTTCTCGAAATGGTAATTCCGAAGTTATTCCATCAAGTGGGGGGGGGGGGGGGGGGG